CAACCAGTTCTAAGAGTTTTTAGAGTTTGAACAATTTGTTCGCATTTCGCAGGCTTGAAGTTCATTTTTGGCGCTGCTTTAACTCATGTCCAGTGTCTTCCGAGAGTAGAGCCTAGTCCTTTCTTTTTAGAAAAATCTACTTTTTTAAATAAGGTCGTCTACTTTTGTGCGTCACGTTTTTACACTAGACGACTTTAATGTCTCAGACGTTAAACGCGTCTAGACGACTTTAACGTCTCTAGCATAAAAACGGCCCATGTTTTGAGGTTTGAATTTTGTAACTTACGGGCTGATTTGTTCCATCTTGAATTTTGTACTGCAAAGCCCACTTTGGTCTACCAGTGAGGTCCATGAAGAGATAAAAACCACCAAACAGCCAAAAAAACAAAAACGTCACCACATTTGTTCCTAAAAAAAAACAAACAAAGCAAAATGTGTTACAGAAGCATGTTGTTGGTGCCTGCAGGTATATCATACATGTAAATCAAGAGGGATGCTTTAATATATATTTTTTTTGATAATATTTTTTGGTAACAATTTATTATAAACGAGTCAAAATTTTGTCTAGAGCTTAATCACTGGTAAAGGTATAGAAATGGTAAATTTATGACTTTGCGAGGCCACGGTTTCAAAATTTGTGAATAAGACTGATGAAAATTTGAGACTTCGAGGCCCATCAAAAACGATTCCAAAATTTCGAGAATGGTTCAAAACTTTCCAAGACCAACGTTTTTTGAGGAACCATTCTAACTACCCCTCCTGGCCTGAAACAGTTTGTCTAATACTGAAGATTTTTATGTCACCTTCATAACAAGGATATCTTTAGCTAGAGTGATGATTACTGCACGTAATAGAACCTACCTACAACTGAAAGTAAAAATTCATCTCCACCGAATAATGCATGCACTTTCTTCCAGCAACCTTGCCAGAAGTCACCAGATGCACCCCAGAACCTCTCTACTTGCCTGGGAAAGAATCCAAGAAAATTACCTCCTTTTAAAATAAAGATAACACTGACATCACTGACATTAATCTTTAGAGTATCTACAAACTTCAAATGGGAAAATTTATGTATCAATACAGATCTGGCTTACTTCCTTATAGCTTCAATAACATGTTTTTGGTGACACGCCAGGTGCATTCTTATGGCACTAGAAGTTAGGAGCATTTTTATTTACCACAATGCAGGACTAATATAAGAAAGTTCTTCATCAGTTTCCAAGGTCCTAAATTTTTTAACTCTCTTAGTTTTGAAATTCGAAATGCAACAAGTACTGCTTCCTTTAGTTGTAAGCTGAAAGCATTCCTCTTATCATAAATAGTAATTTAAACATATATTATAATTATATATGTTTTTTTTTTTTTACCTTTGCTCTTTTATTTTCATTTTTTTTTCTTTTTGTCATTTCGCTTTTTTTAGCCTAGAACTATGATTAGTACGACTATCTAATATATTTATTTTAAGATTTACTGTAGCTCTGCCATTGATTTTCCCATGTGTAATTATGATAATATTTTGTTCTAATTATCTAACTGAGGGAGCCCATTCCTTATTAGCCCGGTGGCTTCTCTTGAGCTTCCTCGCCATGAGAGTTTAAATAATTAGATTTTATTTGATTTTATTTGATTTTATTGCAAACAAAACAAAAATAAAAAAATAAAAAATCACTTTCCAATAAACTAATGTAATGATTGCTGTGTTGCAAACAAAAGAGGCTTCTGCGAATATCACTCTGGCTTTGTCTTAAATGACTACAGACTAGAAAACATATTAATTTATTGTCTCTAACCATGTAATTGTGTTCCTTGCTGCAGCAAAACAAATAAGTGCTGTGCCAACAACAAATGCAGTTTTTTTCAAAGCTGCAATTATGTTCTGCTTACCATCCTAAAAATGACAAAAAAAAGGGCCAAGTTTGAGGTTTTACGAATATCATTACCTTAGTACAGTACTTCACATATCTCACATCTACACTTTAAAAGGAATAAAAAACTCTTAGAGCAAAAGATTTATAAAAGATGAATGTGTAATTATTGAGGTGTTAAAATTCTGACACTGTAACAACTTCCTGTGAATGAGCTTATCATTCACCTGATTCTCCATCAGATGAAATTCTATAAGTTTATCAACTGAGGTTACACTGTAAATTATGTAGATTCAGGCCCCCATCCAGATTAGTGTTTCCTTAACACTTTAAATCTCCAGAGTGACAAACATATATTTTCTCCTAACTATATCAATGCATCAAAAGAGAAAATTATGAGAATTGACTAAAAAATCACCAAAACAAAAGTGCTTTGATCTTCTACCAATGTCTCTAAACCTGTTTAGGAAATGTACGGGGATCAGTTTTGAGAATTTGTATTTGGATATTGAGGGTTTAAGGGTCAAACCAGCATTTGCCCTTGTACATGTATGAAGTCCATTGTTTCCCATGGTTTCCAGTCTGTTCAAGTAGGGAATTTTTCATTTTTGAAAGACAGCACCAAGGCATGTGAGATTGGTTTATGTTTTTTGGGTAACTATGAGGGATATTAGGGTCACTAAAAATAGTCAGCAGCTGGAAAACTCAAGGCAAAATCAGCTGCCTATTTAACAGGAAAGCCACCATTTTCAAACTTTCTAACAGCCCTGTTGGTAGTAAAAGTGCAATTAAGATTTTGTCACATTAATTGAGAAAACAGTGAGAGAAATACTTTACTCTGACACCATTCCACTCTTTGGCTTAAGTTCAGAAAAAAAAGGTAACATCCTCAAAAGAGCAAGCCAAAGTTTTTTCATCAACAAACATGAAAGGTACAAATTCTAATGAAAATGAAACTGCTCATACTGTTGATTGCATTTTCTTGTCTCTTGGCTTGGCCCATTCTGGTTCAGGTATTACTGGATAATCCACTTCTGTCATTGCTAAGAAAACAAAATAGAAATATTATTCAGGCAATATTATTGGCAATAAAAAATATAATCATCTCCACTTTGTTGCAGTTAAAAATATAGATACCTTACCAGAAGGAGTAATACAGGAGGGTATTTGTCCGGGTTTGTCTGTTTTAGTTCAATAAGTTGCAACTCACAACTAATTAAACAGAACAGAATCAGTCTCTAAGTGTTTCCCTCTAAAACATTGATATGTTTGATGTGTTTAATGAACAAAATCAATTCAGCATGATAAACTGCATGCTCAACCCACGCTTTATTGAACAGAACTATCCAAAACAATTCCTTTGGTCAAGTGACTGTTGAACCATGTAAGTTTGGCCCATAAATTCACTCTATGGTGGGGTTTTATTGGAAGTTGGAGTAGGCAACAATACTGTAATTACAATACAGATTCATTTACATAAGAGTGGATCCTGTAATATTAACTAGAATTTGCAAGTCATTCAAGCTCACTCAAGGTTACCATGCTTTCTTCCTTCAAAGATACAATCATAAATTGTATAAAAACATTTCTCATGATGTACTGTATTCACAACTGAATTTGACAGGATAAAAAAAATAACCCAACCTTGAACGACCTTAGATGACGTAACATTTATCTCGTTGTCTTGGAAAACTTTAGAGAAAACTTCCCGAGCCACTTACGTACATGGATGTGCTACGCCCCCAGAAACACCCCAAACAATTCCAATAGACTTTCTCTGGTTTAAAAACCCAACTAACTCTATCATTTAGCGACGTTAAATACCGAAAAAGTTCAGCATTGAGACCCGAAGTCGCTGTATCGATAAACTATTGAGCTCTGCGTCGATTCACTACTAAATTCCTCGATCTGTATCGGAAATTCGTAAGCGTCAGATGTTTTACGTAATATTTCTTTTATTCCAGCTTTCATCTTTTGCCCGAAAATAAATAACCAAATGACAAACGTAGGTACCTGATATTTGATAAATAATATAGTGTTACTCTTGGATGAGTCCTATAACTTACACCGCACTTTATAGCACATGATTTCATATGTTTGGACAATGATCAAAACAAGACATGTTGCCGCCATTTTCAATTTTGAACCTAAACTAACTTTTTCGATCCTCAAGCCTACAAGAAAAACCACATAGACGATTACGGAAGGAGATTTAGAGACAAAAAATAACGTTGAAAGTATCTCTTTACTTTTTTTGCCTTTTGAAGGGCGAAAAATAAGTGTTAATGAATAAACTGTAGAACGCGGAAAGACAGGTGATTTTGTTTGGCGGTCTGTTGTGATAAACGCGCGTTTCTTGCTACAGAGTCAGATAACTAGACAATTCAACTTACTTTACTTGGGCCTAAAGACCAATTTTCTCTTCCACCGTCCTCTTTTCTTAAAAAATTTCACCGATATTACCACAACCTGGAGTATCACGGCCGACACTCGACGGACAAACCCTTTTCGCTCACTTCAGGGCGCCTTCTCTGTGTTTTGTTGACATCGGTCATGTGACATTATTTGGGTCCAAAGTCCCACGAGGGATCGGCCCCAGATTGTTTCAATGTGGGGGTTTGTTATGACTCGGCGCGATTTTAATTAACTTCGATTCTTATGCTAAGATGACGGCACAACGATTTGCAAATCAATTGAAATTTTCTGTTCTCGTGATGTAAACAATAAATTCAATGACGCCACACAAGTTAAAGCACTAGCGCGTTCATCCGATGAGGTCGATGAGGCATGGACCCACACTGCAAAAAAATTTCGCGGGAAAGGGGCCTGAAGCGAGTTTCTAAACCTAAAACGGGCGTAAGCAAGTTTTAAAACTATTCTGAAAAAAAGTATTGAAACACTGCTGTAATTATTTTTGTCAATTTGTGTATCCTTCACTATAAGATAAGAAGCAGGTGTTTTTATAGTAGCAGGCTTTTTTTCTGTCCATAGTGGCTCCCGGTTTCTTGAAGGCCCTCATAAATGAGTAACCGAGTTTAATTGTCTGAACGAACGGTTTCAGACGGGTAACAAGGGTCGGAAGGGGTATTTTCGGGATCCGGGATTTGACCAAAATACCGTGCGGGATTCGGGAAAATGCAAAATATCTTGACGAGAAACGGGATTCCGACTGTTAGCCTAGAAGAATTGGGCACGGGATGCGAGACTTTTCCCCTTTCTCTCGGGAACTCGGGAAATCTTTACGTCCAACCACGCGAGCATTCAGTGGCTCTCTCCTCCGCAGAGGCCTCTTTGTGTCGCGGGAGCCTCTGCGGAGCAGAGAGATCCAGTGGTGTCTGCTATCACAGCAAACAAGAGTGGATGGTTATTAATGATTATCTGGTTGAAACTGTTAAGTTATCGACATCTAGACAAGCACACAGTGCAGAAGCCCCACTGTGTCGACCGCATGCCTGGAAAGTACACGTGGTGCAATAGCATTGCTTAAGCTCTTTTACACCCATGATTGTAAACTTGAGGGAGCTATTATTGTTTCATCAGCTAAATTTTGATGACGAGAGAGAAACGAGAGAGGCGCGCGAGCATAATGTTAAAAGGAGAAAAAGCGCTGGCCCCTTTGCGAACCAACAGCGCTCGCGCACGCTCTGATTGTCTAACAGGACTTAAAGCATGCAGCCTTCATAGCAAGCGTTTCCTTGTGACTAGGAGCAAAGAAAGACCAAGGAAAGACGAGGAACGGGATTTTCAGTTTTGGCCGGGCGAAAAATGGAACGAGAGCCAGAAAAATGTCCCATTTTTCGCACGGTCTTCAGGGTCTTTGACTCTTGTTCCCCGTTCTTTGCTCCGAAACCGCACGGAAACACTTGCTACGCAGGCTAATCAGATGTACTGTTCTCCACCCTCAAGATCGGCGCGGCGCAGATTCGCCCCGTTACAGAAATCGCGTAGCCTGAATTTCATCTGATTGCTTCGAGTCATTTCCTACGACTCGAATTCAGGCTAGAAATCGCGCCGAAATCACCCATTTCTTGTGTGTGAACAGAAGCGTTGCCGGCGCGAAAGCTATCTGGTGTAATGTTAACGTAGCCTTAGTCCTGGCTATGCATGTTCACACTAGTGCCTGGCACATGATACCGAATGGGTAAACATCACGTGACTGAAATGGGATAACCTGCGATCAGGCGTTTTTTTTTTGGGGGGGGGACCGCCCGGATCGCAGGTTAGAAATGGGAAAACAAAACATACAAATTAAAAAAGGTCTATTGGCTCTCGCCTTAACAGAGTTTCCTGGAACCTTTCAAAACGTTGCAAATCGTCTACATGAAAAACATTGTTTTGAAGTTAGCCCGGCTAGGCGGGTCACTTCTTGCCGAGCCAACTTTTTGTTTTTCATGTGAACCGTCCGCCTCGTTTTGTAAGGAAAAAGTTAGCCCGTTCAGGGTTGCCTGCGTAGCAAGCGTTTCGCAGGCTAGCTCAGGAAGCTAAGGGTTCTTCTTACTTGCGCCCGCAAACATGGCAGCTTAAACACAAAATACCATGCGCTAGCTTTCAGGCTTCTCGCTAAAATTATCTTTTGCCGCCTGTGAAATCGTTCAAAAATTTGTTCCGATTTTACCTTTTTTCGCATGAGCTTGAAGCTTATATTAGACTCTAAGCGAAAAGTTAACGTATTATTTTTCCAGATGGCTGGCACAAAAGACGACGTTCAAGGCGTTGCAGAACTGTTGGCAAAAACGAAAGTTGAGCAAGTGAACGTCGTTAGTTTCAAAGGAAAAAGTTTTAAGTTAGACTCCGAAGATGACGGTAAGAAATAAGCTTAAGCCTTTCGTATCCTAAAGGTGCGAAGAAAATCAGTCTTAATAACCTTCTGTAAAAGAAGTTGTCGCCAGGGGTTTTTATCATTCCTTAAGTCTATTTTGTAATTGGCTGTAGATGACATGGGACGGATATCAATTAAGCGGTATTAATAGTTTGGATCCAATACATACATGTGCTTATCTGCTTGGTTCAGTATTGTCTATTTATCATAAGTATTCATGTGATATTTGGTTCAAACCATGGTCAATTTGCTTACATGTTTTACTAGTTTGGTTAACTCGCTTACCACATGACTCGAGTTAATAAACCCTTCCACAGCGAAAATACATCAACACTACTAGAAGTGCCTGGTGGTAGGGGGATGGAGGGGGGGGGGGCGGAGGTGGGAGTTTTTGCACCACACCACACTACTGTCTGAAAGGATTTGTGACTTTCCAGAGCCATACTTGTAGCTTTGTGGTTTTTCAGCTTAGAATCACTCTTGAACCTGGCAAATGTTAATACTGTTAGTATGGCGTTCTTTCCGGCATTGATGGTTAATTTAGCTAACTGCTTAATAATAATAAAATAACAACAATAATAAATCATGTTGTTGACTATTGACGGCAGTGCTCAGTCATTTTTGACAGCCAGGAAAAAACAGCCTACAGATTCAGGCTAAAAGCTGTGATTTTATTGTGAACCCTGTGCTCTATTCCTCACCGTGGTAAGCTTGAGTAAAAAAATTCCATAACCCTTCATTTCACATCAAAATTATCCCTGTCAGTGTTTTACCATTGTCGTTGTGCTTGTCTTCGTTGCTGGGGTAGTTTCAATTCATATTATTTCTTTTGTGTTACTTGCCAACATTTCTTGAATGTCTTATATTGTTCTTTCAAGGCTTTCCTGAACATACCCTAAAATAGCCATTGACAATAGGTACAATGTAAGTTGGACATAGCTGATTCATAATAATTTTTATACATAGTTTGTTTAATTTACAGCTGTAGAGGTTGTAAATGTAATCAAGGCCAGTAAAGATGTTCAGGCATTATGTTTGGAGGGTAACACCATAGGTGTGGACGCTGCTAAGGCCATTGGAGAAGCACTTTCAACAAGAAAAGAATTGGAGGTGAGCTGTTAAGATTGGCGTCCATAATTCATATTATGAATACTGAGATCTCACAAAAAAAATTTTGGCAGGGTTTCCGGGGCAAGCATGCAGCTCTCACATTTTGCTTTGTGATTGATTTTGATAGAAGAATGACTTGCCTGCACCCTTGCCCACTGAGCAAGAGTCCAAGACTACCAGATGGGCCTTTTTTCTACAATCAGGGACACACACTTGTTTAAAATGCGTGCTTTTATCAAACGTTTAGTTAATTTATTATTTTACTCCTTTTAAACTCTGTAAATCCCCTCAACCCCCCCGAAATCAATGTTGTCTGAAGTCAAAGAAAGACTTGAGGGTTCAAAATACAACATTGATTTTGGGGGGGAAGGGGTTGGGGTAGATAGGTGAAGGGGATAGGCCCACTTTGCAAAAAGGGGACATTTTAAGGAAGTGTCTCAACACTTTTGTCCCTCATTTTAGCTCTGCTAGAAAACAGTGATGAAGTAACCTTTAAATAGAACTGAATGTGACATTGCATCTGATTTATTTTTCAGAGGGCACTGTGGAGTGATATCTTTACGGGAAGGTTAAGATCTGAAATTCCGCTGGCATTGGTATGTATAAACCATAGATACATGTATTATGCCAAAAAACCCTGTCTCTCCCAAGAATGCTTCAAATCCGAGTTCAAGAAAATTTAAAAATTCATTTTCTGAAATTATATGTTTAATATCTACTGAAATAAAGTGCTAGAGTGTGTGTTTAGAAACTGGCACACCTTTTAAGATCCTTTGGAAAACACAAAATTCTTAAGAAAATGCTTCAAACTATTTTTATTCTTTAAAAATTATACTGAAAAGCAAAATGTCCATAGAGTTTGTATGATAATTTAGAATAGTTGTGAACACAACAGCATTTTACTGTATTTTCAGACTCAAAAGTTACAACTACCGGTACTCTACATTGTCATTATTTCTGTGTTCAAAACAAGCCTGCATGGGGGTGGAAGGGTTTACCAATTGATAATAACCTTTATTTTAAGAGGTTGACACCAATTACTATAAAAAGTATTCTCCCTAGTGGCCCTCTAAAAACAAAATTGATAATAATAAATTACAACAGTCGTGATAAAAAGCCTATTTACAAATAGTTATAATTATAATAAAGGATCTTTAAAATTCTAAACAAGTATTCTCCCTCCCTAGTGGCCCTCTAAAAACAAAATTGATAACAATAAAATTACAACAACATTGTTCATTTCTGAAGTAGTCATGTACTTATTGACTAAGTGGGAGGGCCGGACAGGAAAATATTTGGCTCGAGGTCTGGACGTGTGGACTTATAAGCACAGCGAGGTCTTTGCGTCCTGACCGAGAGCCAAATATTTTCATGTCTGGCCTGACCTAACTCAGTCAAAAAGTGTTTTATCTTGTGACTATTATGTTTGAATTTTTCTGATGGAACTAACCTGCATCGATCAGTAAGCTTTTCTAGCAGAGGTGTAATTGTTTTTCCAGTCCTATCACCTGACGGGTAAGGCCCTCATACAGGCCATTTTTCATATGGTTTTCCAACAAAATTGCGCGTCGGGCTGTACGGGTCATATGATCAAATGTTCTTTTCTCTGTTTTGTTTTTTTAGGGACATCTTAGTGACGGTGTCATAACAGCTAATGCTCAACTTGTTGAACTAGACCTTAGTGACAATGCATTTGGTCCTGATGGGGTGAAAGCATGTGTAAAGCTGCTAACAAGCAAAGCCTGTTACTCATTAAAAACACTTAAGTTAAATAATAATGGCCTTGGTGTTGGTGGAGGCAAGGTTAGTGCTTGTTAGAAAATTTAATCTTAAAATGAGAAGTGGGAGTGAAACTGTCAGACTGAGTGTAGTGGAGGTTGTACTTGTCAGTACTTCAAAACAATATTGTTGAGGTGTTGGAAGTACAGTCGAACCTCGATTTAATGAAGGGCCAAGGGACTGTAAAAACTTGTTCTCTATAACAAAGATTAGTTTATATAGGTTTTTTCCATATACCGGTAATTATTTTCCTACTAGTAATAACCAAAGGTTACAAAGTGTGGGCGACAATGATCAAGGGTCAAAACGCTTTTTCTCCAGCGTGCTTTGCGTAAGTTTTATGTGACAGATGGTCAAAACATGCATGATCAGATTACGAGTGATAGAAGGTCCAAAAGTGCGTGATCAAAGTGCATTCTGTTCATTCCACACATTCTTAGTGGAAATCCAAACGAATGCTCATGGCTACATACATGCGACGCATGCATATTAACAACCTGGATATTAGGATTGCGGGCTCCTCTTGTCGCCTGCCATTACTGGGGTAAATAAAGTCGTTTGTTATAATGAGGACTTTTGTTATGAAAGGTTTGTTATATCGAGGTTCCACTGTAACAGAATTTGTGATGAAGCTTGAGAAATGCCTATTTATTTCATCTTCAAATTGACTGGTCTGGCCAGTTAATTCTGACTTTTGGTTAGCACCCTAGGATATCTATACAGGTCCAATTTAAGTAAAAATAATGTTTAGCTTGTTATTCCCCCTTACTGATATGACAACTATTGAATACTGTGGAAAATAAAATGATGTTATTTGTTTACCAGTAACACCTAAGAACATGAAAATGACACTTGTAAAAACCTGAATTTTGTGTGAGAGAATATTTGGTCATTTTTGTAGATTCTCTCCAAGGCTCTGATTGACTGCCATAAAACCAGCTCAGACGCTGGTACCCCCCTGCAGCTTCAAGTGTTCATATCTGGTAGAAATCGACTAGAAAATCCTGGTGCCACATCATTAGCAGAGGCTTTTCAGGTAATGCATGGAACAGATGTCATGTAATAAGAGGCATTACTGTGTGTAGTACGTGTATCATGTACTGCTATCTTTTAATCAAATCCACACTACATTGTAAATTCATAAACTTCATGTTTCTGATCATCACAGAACTTTGCTGTGTTTTGTATCACTTGTTTTGCTTTTCTTAATTGCTTGATTAAACTTGCTATTGGATATTTTTAATACTTCAATTTGTTTGTTTGTTTGTTTGTTTGTTTTCAGACAATAGGGAGTCTAGAAGAGGTTCAAATGCCACAAAATGGAATCCTTCATGAAGGAATAGCAGCCTTAGCAGAAGCATTTAAATCCAATCCCAATCTCAAGGTCTGTAAACTGTCTATTTATTGACAATCTTTCACTGTTTTTCATGTTCCTGTACGTACACCTTATGAAGATGAGAAGCAATGGCCAAGTGGTTGACGACTTGAACTTTAGACCTGTAAGTCTGTGTTCAAGCCTCACCATGGCATTGGTTTTTTAGACAAGAAAATTTGACTCCACTAGTCTAGGTGTGTTAATGGGTAACATAAGCAACATACTGCTGTAGGCAACTGTACAAGATCAAGCATCCGGAGTACATGTAGCAATACTCCTACATTGAAGATGCTTCATGCTACAAAAACCACAGGGACGTTAAGCTCCAACCATGTGGGTCTCCTTATCTCATGTGTGCCTTAGTTTTTACCCCTTACCTATTCATCTATTCAGTTGATGCACTAGGCAATTGGAATTGCTGGGATACAAGCAAGGTGCCCAGCTGAATTCTACCATAATCAGAGTAAAACAGTCCAGAGTACTTTTTTAAACACCAAAAATTACCTTGTATAGATGTTCAGTTTCACTTGGTCTTTTCAATGGACAGTTTCTTGTTTATCTGTATTGTTCTAAATTCCTGCAATATAGTCTATGTTGCTTAAGACCATTGTTCTTAAACTGTTATCTTGCCTAAAAGAAAGCACTGATTGCAAATTGTCTGTTGTGTCTTTTTATAGATCTTGAATTTAAATGACAACACATTTACTTCAAAGGGAGCAACAGCAATGGCAAAGGTAAAGTTACCTTTTCATCAAATAATTATTATTTGCTATTATACTTATAATTATTATAAATACTATTAAAGGGGGCAATTTCATTCTATAGTGTATACACCACACCATTTTTAAAGCTTTTGCTAACTGATTTAAGTCAACATTGCAGAAAAGTAACAGCTTAAATCTGCATGTACCCCACCCCACCCCCCGCTCCCCACGGGTTAGGGGGTGGAGATGTATGACATTTAAGACTGCTACCAATGGGGTTATATTTTGATGCTCTGATCTTTGAGACGCTGACGTAAAAAGTTCCTCGTGATCCAACCACTTTCCAGAACTGACTCTGGAGTCGTGATAGATCTTTGTAGGTATATGGAAAGAAATCTTGGTAATTTGTAACAGGCGCTTGTTTTGTAGGTGCTACCAAGCCTTAAAAATCTTGAGGTCATCAACTTTGGAGACTGCCTAGTCAAAACAGAAGGCGCCAAAGCATTGGCAAAGAGTTTACGAACTTCAGTGAATAACTTGAAAGAGCTAAACTTGTCTTTTGATGAGATAAACAAAGAAGGAGCATTGGCAATTGTTGAGGCTTTGGAGAGTAAAGATTCTTTGAAGAAACTGGAATTAAATGGTGGGTATACAAAGCAGGTGGTTTGTTTAGCTGCGGCCATAGTACAGATTGTCCCCATTGTCTGCCTTTATGGAGAAAATGTGTATTTATACTTTACAGGAAGACATAATAGGGCCCCGAATGTAGTCGTCTACTTTAGCGTTCTTTCATAGGTCGCTTAGGAAAGGAGTGGTGGCCTGGGTAGGAAGTGCCTGCACAAGCGCTTGTGTAGTAAAAGGAGGGTTAGAGTTTGACCTGATGTTTGTTTTGCTCTCTCTTCACTGGTTTCAGGCAACCAGAAACACAAATTTGAAATAGATAGAAAGACGTTGTTCGAGCTGACATTGATTCTATCACTGAATTGAAGAACAATACAGTACATGGGTGAAGCCAAAATAATATTACAGTGGAGTTCAAAATCCTTTTTCCACCAAACACTCCCGTAAATAGTGCATACATGTACCTTCTCTAATCATATTCGATTTACGGTCATTTCGTTCCATAGTCAGATCGTTCCAAGTCAGATCGTTCCAATCAATAGTCAGATCGTTCCACAAAATGGTCAGTTCGTTCCACAAAAAAGTCAGTTCGTTCCACATATGAAAAGTCAAGTAAATTTTTCTAAATTTGTTGAGTGAACTTTACCGAGAAGAAAAACGTTTCGTTCAGACCACAAGCTGATAAAATAATAATCCATCCAAAGGCGATTCGATCCATCCCAAGTCGTTTGAAAACAAACAAGAAACGATTTCAACCAGCCACGGGCTTTAACATTTAAGCCGCCGCTATGAGAGCTTTTGAGCTAGAGACGATTGATGGTTTTGAAAGATATAGCACAACAAGTAAAAGCTATTCCGTTCTGAAGGTACAGTATTTCGAAGCGCTTGTGACCAGAAGCGCTAGAATTATGCAAATTTTGAAAACAACGCGAGTTTCGAATTACAATCTCGATTTTATGGTAATTTGTCTCGCGGAAAATATAAATGAGCATTGCAAGCATTTTATCGCCTTCAACCTTTTATTAATATCCTTTTTACATGCGGGGACGTTTGGGTCGTCCTAATGACTCCCGCCCCTAAACAACATACAGTATCACAAAAAACAACCTATGTTTTCAAATGAATAATGACCTTAACCTAACGCAAAATCGTGTGAACTAGCGCGAATTATCTACATCGGCTAAACCTATGTTTTTCGGCACCTATATATCCCCTGTATACTAAAGCGAAAATTGAACTTCTAAGCTAATAGGCCCAACCTATGTTTTCTAGACTAGTTTCAGTGGGTGGCGATCAGGCTAGATACGTGTTTTTTCTTAGGCTATCTTGGATTTGTTGATTTAAAATTCTCGCTTTGTTGCTTGGTTATAGTTGGAGCGTTTTCAAAAAAGTTCTGTTTTTGATCGTTTTACAGTTGGCGTAATGCTTAAGCGCGTAAAAAAAAAATGGTTTTCAAACGAAACGCTCTGATGTGTACCGGGTCTACGGTTAACCGCTTCTCAGAAAATCAAAGACAAGAGTTATTCATTATTTGATTTTATTTTACAGGAAATGCCATTGGGGAAGATGGAATTGAAGAAGTTAAGGGCTGGCTTGAGTCAAATGGTCGTCTTGATGCTCTTGGTTCGCTTAGTGATGACGAGGGAGAGGTTGACGATGATGAAGATGAAGAAGGAGATGAAGAACTGGGTGGCGGCGACAGCGATGATGGAGAAGCGGGTGATGAACTGAATCTTAGTGTGACAGGTGTCAGCCTTAAACCAGAGTCACCGCTGCTTGGTACTGATGAAGAAATAGAAAAAGAACTCATCAAGGTAGGTCTGGAAACTAAAGTATATCCAGCGATCATTGTTTAGGAAATTATTGTTTCACTTTGTAGCGTTTTTAAGTAACCTTTAAATAGAACTGAATGTGACATTGCATCTGATTTATTTTTCAGAGGGCACTGTGGAGTGATATCTTTACGGGAAGGTTAAGATCTGAAATTCCGCTGGCATTGGTATGTATAAACCATAGACACATGTAATATGCCAAAAAACCCTGTCTCTCCCAAGAATGCTTCAAATCCGAGTTCAAGAAAATTTAAAAATTCATTTTCTGAAATTATATGTTTAATATCTACTGGAATAAAGTGCTAGAGTGTGTGTTTACAAACTCACACCTTTTAAGATCCTTTGGAAAACACAAACTTCTTAAGAAAATGCTTCAAACTATTTTTATTCTTTAAAAATTATACTGAAAAGCAAAATGTCCATAGAGTTTGTATGATAATTTAGAACAGTTGTGAACACAACGGCATTTTACTGTATCTTCAGACTCAAAAGTTACAACTACTCTACATTGTCATTATTTCTGTGTTCAAAACAAGTCTGCATGGGGGTGGAAGGGTTTACCAGTTCATAATAACCTTTATTTTAAGAGGGTGACACCAATTACTATAAAAAGTATTCTCCCTAGTGGCCTTCTAAAAACAAAATTGATAATAATAAATTACAACAGTCGTGATAAAAAGCCTATTTACAAATAATTATAATTATAATAAAGGATCTTAAAAATTCTAAACAAGTATTCTCCCTCCCTAGTGGCCCTCTAAAAACAAAATTGATAACAATAAAATTACAACAACATTGTTCATTTCTGAAGTAATTATGTACTTCTTGACTAAGTTAGAGGGCCGGACAGGAAAATATTTGGCTCGAGGTCAGGACGTGTGGACTTATAAGCACAGCAAGGTCTTAGCGTCCTGACCGAGAGCCAAATATTTTCATGCATGGCCTGGCCTAACTCAGTCAAAAAGTGTTTTATCTTATGACCATTGTGTTTGAATTTTTCTGACGGAACTAACCTGCATCGATCAGTAAGTTTTTCTAGCAGAGGTGTAATTGTTTTTCCGGTCCTATCACTTGACGGGTAAGGCCCTCATACGGGTCTTTTTTCATATGGTTTTTCAACAAATTGGGCGCCGGGATGTTCAGGTCATATGATCAAATGTTCTTTTGAATTTTCTTTGCTTTGTTTTTTTAGGGACATCTTAGTGACGGTGTCATAACAGCTAATGCTCAACTTGTTGAACTAGACCTTAGTGATAATGCATTTGGTCCTGATGGGGTGAAAGCATGCGTAAAACTGCTAACAAGCAAAGCCTGTTACTCATTAAAAACACTTAAGTTAAATAATAATGGCCTTGGTGTTGGTGGAGGCAAGGTTAGTGCTTGTTAGAAAATTTAATATTCAAATGAGAAGTGGAAGTGAAACTGTCAGACTGAGTGTAGTGGGAGTTGTACTTGTTAGTACTTCAAAACAATATCGTTGAGGTGTTGGAAGTACAGTCGAACCTCGATTTAATGAAGGGCCAAGGGACTGTAAAAACTTGTTCTCTATAACAAAGATTTGTTTATATAGGTTTTTTTCCATATAATTATTTTCCTACTAGTAATAACCAAAGGTTACAGAGTGCAGGCGACAACAGTCAAGGGTCAAAATGCTTTTGCTCCAGTGCCGTGCTTTGCGTAAGTTTCATGCGACAAATGGTCAAAACATGCATGATCAGATTATGAGTGATAGAAGGTCCAAAGGTGCGGGATTAAAGTGTGTTTTGTTCATTCCATACATTCTTAGTGGAAATCCAAACGAATGCTCATGGCTACATACATGCGACGCATGCATATTAACAACCTAAATATTAGGATTGCGGGCTCCTCTTGTCGCCTGCCATTACTGGGGTAAATAAAGTCGTTTGTTATAATGAGGACTTTGTTATGAAAGGTTTGTTATATCGAGGTTCCGCTGTAACAGAATTTGTGATGAAGCTTGAGAAATGCCTATTTATTTCATCTTCAAATTGACTGGTCTGGCCAGTTAATTCTGACTGTTGGTTAGCACCCTAGGATATCTATACAGGTCCAATTTAAGTAAAAATAATGTTTAGCTTTTTATTCCCCCTTACTGATATGACAACTATTGAATACCGTGGAAAAAAAAAATTATGTTATTTATTTACCAGTAACACCTATCCTTTGAAGCAGAAGATTGATTTACTATTTAGTTTACTATTTAAGAACATGAAAATGACACTTGTAAAATCCTGAATTTTGTGTGAGAGAATATTTGGTCATTTTTGTAGATTCTCTCCAAGGCTCTGATTGACTGCCACAAAACCAGCTCAGAAGCTGGTACCCCTCTGCAGCTTCAAGTGTTCATATCTGGTAGAAATCGACTAGAAAATCCTGGTGCCACATCATTAGCAGAGGCTTTTCAGGTAATGCATGGAACAGATGTCATGTAATAAGAGGCATTACTGTGTGTAGTACATGTATTATGTATTGCTATCTTTTAATCAAATCCACACTACATTGTAAATTCATAAACTTCATGTTTCTGATCATCACAGAACTTTGCTGTGTTTTGTATCAATTGTTTTGCTTTTCCTAATTGCTTGATTAAACTTGCTATTGGATATTTTTAATACTTCAATTTGTTTGTTTGTTTGTTTTCAGACAATAGGGAGTCTAGAAGAGGTTCAAATGCCACAAAANAAGGTTTGTTATATCGAGGTTCCGCTGTAACAGAATTTGTGATGAAGCTTGAGAAATGCCTATTTATTTCATCTTCAAATTGACTGGTCTGGCCAGTTAATTCTGACTGTTGGTTAGCACCCTAGGATATCTATACAGGTCCAATTTAAGTAAAAATAATGTTTAGCTTTTTATTCCCCCTTACTGATATGACAACTATTGAATACCGTGGAAAAAAAAAATTATGTTATTTATTTACCAGTAACACCTATCCTTTGAAGCAGAAGATTGATTTACTATTTAGTTTACTATTTAAGAACATGAAAATGACACTTGTAAAATCCTGAATTTTGTGTGAGAGAATATTTGGTCATTTTTGTAGATTCTCTCCAAGGCTCTGATTGACTGCCACAAAACCAGCTCAGAAGCTGGTACCCCTCTGCAGCTTCAAGTGTTCATATCTGGTAGAAATCGACTAGAAAATCCTGGTGCCACATCATTAGCAGAGGCTTTTCAGGTAATGCATGGAACAGATGTCATGTAATAAGAGGCATTACTGTGTGTAGTACATGTATTATGTATTGCTATCTTTTAATCAAATCCACACTACATTGTAAATTCATAAACTTCATGTTTCTGATCATCACAGAACTTTGCTGTGTTTTGTATCAATTGTTTTGCTTTTCCTAATTGCTTGATTAAACTTGCTATTGGATATTTTTAATACTTCAATTTGTTTGTTTGTTTGTTTTCAGACAATAGGGAGTCTAGAAGAGGTTCAAATGCCACAAAATGGAATCCTTCATGAAGGAATAGCAGCCTTAGCAGAAGCATTTAAATCCAATTCCAATCTCAAGGTCTGTAAAGTGTCTATTTATTGACCATCTTTCACTGTTTTTCATGTTCCTGTACGTACACCTTATGAAGATGAGAAGAAATGGCCAAGTGGTCGACGACTTGAACTTTAGACCTGTAAGTCTGTGTTCAAGCTTCACCATGGCATTGGTTTTTTAGACAAGAAAATTTGACTCCACTAGTCTAGGTGTGTTAATGGGTAACATAAGCAACATACTGCTGTAGGCAACTGTACAAGATCAAGCATCCGGAGTACATGTAGCAATACTCCTACACTGAAGATGCTTCATGCTACAAAAACCACAGGGACGTTAAGCTCCGACCATGTGGGTCTCCTTATCTCATTTGTGCCTTAGTTTTTACCCCTTACCTATTCATCTATTCAGTTGATGCAGTGGGCAATTGGAATTGCTGGGATACAAGCAAGGTGCCCACCTGAATTCTTCCATTGATAATAAAAGTGAAACAGAGTACTTTTTTAAACGCCAAAAATTGCCTCATATACATGTACAGTTTCACTTGCTCTTTTTGGACAGTTTCTTCTTTCTCTGTATTGTTTTAAATTCTTGCAAGAGGGTCTCTGCTGCTTAAGGCCATTTTTCTTAAACTTTTTTCTTGCTGTAAAAGAAAGCACTGAATGTCTGTTGTGTCTTTTAATAGATCTTGAATTTAAATGACAACACATTTACTTCAAAGGGAGCAACAGCAATGGCAAAGGTAAAGTTACCTTTTCATCAAATAATTATTATTTGCTATTATACTTATAATTATTATAAAAACTATTAAAGGGGGCAATTTCATTCTATAGTGTATACGCCACACCATTTTTAAAGCATTTGCAAAAATTTAAGTCAACATTGCAGAAAAGTAACAGCTTAAATCTGCATTCCCCCTCCCCGCTCCCCACGGGTTAGGGAGTGGAGACGCGTGACATTTCAGACTACTACCAATGGGGTTATATTTTGATGGTCTGATCGTTGAGATGCTGACGTGAAAAGTTCCTCATGATCTAACCACTTTCCAGAACTGACTCTGGAGTGAAAAAAGATCTTTGTAGGTATATGGAAAGAAATCATGTCAATTTGTAACAAGCGCTTGTTTTGTAGGTGCTACCAAGCCTTAAAAATCTTGAGGTCATCAACTTTGGAGACTGCCTAGTCAAAACAGAAGGCGCCAAAGCATTGGCAAAGAGTTTACGAACTTCAGTGAATAACTTGAAAGAGCTAAACTTGTCTTTTGATGAGATAAACAAAGAAGGAGCATTGGCTATTGTTGAGGCTTTGGAGAGTAAAGATTCTTTGAAGAAACTGGAATTAAATGGTGGGTATACAAAGCAGGTGGTTTGTTTAGCTGCGGCCATAGTACAGATTGTCCCCATTGTCTGCCTTTATGGAGAAAATGTGTATTTATAATTTACAGGAAGACATAATAGCGCCCCGAATGTAGTCGTCTACTTTAGCGTTCTCTCATAGCTCGCTTAGGAAAGGAGTGGTGGCCTGGGTAGGAAGTGCCTGCACAAGCGCTTGTGTAGTAAAAGGAGGGTTAGAGTTTGTCCTGATCATTTGTTTTGCTCTCTCTTCACTGGTTTCAGGCAACCTGAAACAGAAATTTGAAATAGATAGAAAGACGCTGCTCGAGCTGACATTGATTCTATCACTTAATTGAAGAACAATACAGTACATGGGTGGAGCCAAAATAATATTACAGTGGAGTTCAAAATCCTTTTCCCCCCTAACACTCCCGTAAATAGTGCATACATGTACCTTCTCTATATTCTAGACTAGTTTCAGTGGGTGGCGATCAGGCTAGATGCGTGTTTTTTTCTTAGGCTATCTTGGATTTGTTGTTTTAAAATTCTCGCTTTGTTGCTTGGTTATAGTTGGAGCGTTTTCAAAAAAGTTCTGTTTTTGATCGTTTTACAGTTGGCGTAATGCTTAAGCGTGTAAAAAAATGGTTTTCAAACGAAACGCTCTGGTGTGTACCGGGTCTACGGTTAACCGCCTCTCAGAAAATCAAAGACAAGAGTTATTCATTATTTGATTTTATTTTACAGGAAATGCTATTGGAGAAGATGGAATTGAAGAAGTTAAGGGTTGGCTTGAGTCAAATGGTCGTCTTGATGCTCTTGGTTCGCTTAGTGATGACGAGGGAGAGGTTGATGATGATGAAGATGAAGAAGGAGATGAAGAACTGGGTGGCGGCGACAGCGATGATGGAGAAGCGGGTGATGAACTGAATCTTAGCGTGACAGGTGTCAGTCTTAAACCAGAGTCACCGCTGCTTGGTACTGATGAAGAAATAGAAAAAGAACTCATCAAGGTAGGTCTGGAAACTAAAGTATATCCAGCGATCATTGTTTAGGAAATTATTGTTTCACTTTGTAGCGTTTTCTTACATGCACTACAGCCAAAGTTATGGGTGATAAAAAACGACAGAGTGAGACCTTGATAAATGGGTGCGAGCCTCCTTAACAAGTTGAGCTTCCAAATCCAAGTCATCAACCTTGTTGCAAAGTGGAAATATCGAGCAGACAGCTCACACTTCTCTAAGCATCCAGCTTATTAGAAGCCTTGACTGAGACTAGATTGTGATTACGAAGATCATGCTGAATAAATTTTCTGGTCACTTGAATCTCGAAAATTTTCTTTACCGTCCATATTTTGTTGCACAGGTTAGGTAACCATCGTGCCAGCTGAGTGGCATACTCCCAGTACCCCGAGGGTGCGAACTCAGAAATGTCTAAATTTCCTTAAAATGTTTGATTTTCTGCGTGTGACGTGGTGCCATTTTTGACAAACCAGAAAAAGTTCCTTCATAAATTGTACTCACAGTCTTATGTTCCTAGGAAGCTGAACAACTATTTTGTTGAGTGAAAGTTTGGCAACTCTCGCTGTAAAGTAACGCTTACATTGAGCATATCAAGCGCTAATTAGTTTTCTGTTACGTTTGTCACAGGGACGTAAATCGCCGAGGGAAGATTCCAATAAAGACTGACAAAGACAACGTGATATACACTACACGTACAAGTCCATCCAATATTGCGGTCTCCTTCAATTCAGTTCCATTTTGCCTAGTCGAGCTTTGTATTAATTTTACTTTTAGTTACTGAAAAAATATAAGATTAGGATCAAAAAATGGCATCACGTCACTTAAACCAGGAGTAGTTTAACTGTCAACATCGTGGATAGAATAGTTAGGGTGTTTCCTTTTTTAAATTTTAGCCTGTGTATTTTTACGTAGTTGTTTATTGTCATCGAATATTCTAAGCTTAGCTTTCAAATTTTCTTACTTTTAAAAGTCTTCGACTAGCAGCGCTGAAGTTGACTCGGCTGAGAAGGTTGCTCTCTTTCCCGGGACAACTCTTTTCTGTATTGTAAATAGGGCCTGAGTGTTTTAAAAGTTGATAGTTTTCTAAGATTTCTGAGAAAAAACAAAGCAATCGCTCGGTAGAATTCGAAAAATTCGTAAGGCCCGGTTCAGACGCCGAACTTTTCATGAGTGGAATTTAACACTTTGGATTAAGCAAATGAAAAGTTGGGCGTCTGAATCAATTACGAACACCTGTTTCAATCTGGAACGGCTCAGCCGTTCTTCCCGCCTAGCCCGGCCTAGAATTTCGACTATGGATTGACTTTGGAACGGCTTTGATTCAGACGCCGAACTTTTTGTGTACCGAACCTAACACTTATATTTTTATAACGTTTTTTGTAAGCAGGTTAACTCCAAAGTGAGCATTTTTCCCCTTTTGAATTTAGTTCGGCTGGAATTACGATCGGCGTCTGAATCAACCCGGGCGGTCTAAATAATTTGAGTCGGCCTTAATTCGAATTACTCTAGGTTCGGCTCATGAAAAGTTGGGCGTCTGAACCGGGCCTAACTGACACGCATATTTTCTTACGTTTTCATATTTCTTGACTTTTCGTTTGCAAATCATTGAACTGAAACTAAAAACTTTCATCTCAAAACGATATACGCTGTAACATAAATCGTGTATAGTTGTACGATAAAGGGGGGTTAATTTAATTTGCCATTTTATTATATTGTATTTATTATAATTGTGTTCAAAAGTGTAGTTAGACCTTATGTATTATATTCCGCACCATTTCTGGTGAAAATCGAAATATAATATAATTTTAATTATTTATTCTCACTCTGAAAGTATACACCGTTTTGAACCAATGATTTTACACACGTTTTAATGTAGAAAAATATCCATTTTTATTTTTAAAGCTGTAGTTGCGTAGCGGGTAGTATATTATATTGACATATTAAAGAGTGTGTTATACACTTTGTCTTGTAACCTGGTGTTATGAAATGTGGAAATACAAAAGCTACCAAATGACCCTTAACATTGTCATAATTACGAGGATTTGTCATATTATGGAATGATCTTTCCAGAAAGCAGGACCAAAAATACTCTTTCATAGGTTTTCGTTTTTCTTTCTCCGTGATAAATCTGCCATTAGCGCTCTGAGGGGCCAAGATATGGCTCGGTTTGCGGATTCGCCATGCATAAGCAAGAGAAGGGTAGAGGGCAAAATACTGCTTCCTGGTCAAAATACGTGTCAAAGGTTAGACAATCACATTGTCATTCTTATCCTGTGATGGCTCCACACAAATTCCAAATCAAAATTTAGCTTTATTTTATTCTTGTCATAGATTCAAGAAACTCTCTGATGAGGCTTTGGCTCTATAGGTTTACCCCTTGACTCTGGCACTCCCCCTCCTCCAATCCCCTCCCAGCGTCTCGGCGGAGGGGGTGTGGGCTCCCGCCCTTACCCTCACCCCCAATCTTCTCCCGGTGTCTGGGAGAAGGGGTGTAGCACACCGCCCTCACTCCCCTCCCCCAATCTCCTCTTGGGCTCTGGGAGAAGGGGGTGTGGGCTCCCGCCCTCACTTCCCTCCCCCAACCCCCTAATATAAACTGGGACTTTTTTTGACAAGTTTCATTTGGTGCTGTAGATAGAGAAAAAAAGTAATTTTTCTCCATTTAGATGAATCTTCCTTCCTTTTACTAGATTGACCTTTTCTTAACTTCATTGCATTTGCTAATGGCTTTTGGTGTTTTTAAATTGATTTATGTGTGTAGGTGACGAACACGGACGTGGTAAAAGATTTCCTTTTGGGACCGACGTTAGAGAAGCTGAAGAAAATACCAATCAAACAAAGGTCTTTTCTGATAGCCGAGAATTTAAGGGTACGCATCTATTTTAATTTATGAGTTATATTTGCTAACTTGAAGTCTAGGCCACTTTCGAGGAGTTAAAGAGACAGCTTTTTCAAAACATGTCGACAAATCGTGGAGTGTCGTCGGAGCAATTTTGGCGTAATTTTCTTCGCCAGTTACAAAGCGTGCACGCAAATTGATTTAACTGAAATTAAAAAATGCAAAAATCTGCAAGATTTTGGATGCGACTCCTTCGAACAGATTGTCTTACGAACTCGCTATCTTTGAGCGCATGGGTAGCAAACATCCAAAAAAGCCGGTTTTTTCGTTGCCACTAAATTTTTGAGGGAGATCATCAGAAAGTGTCCTAATATTTGCAGCCGAATGCTATTCGGAACTGCCGATAAAAACCGAGAAACAAGAAGAAAAGGAAGCTGCATTTTTATGTTGAAACAATTGTCTTTTTTTGTTTGTATTTTAACAGGATCATTTACATGATGCAAATGAAGTAGCAAGATTTTTTGTGTCGGTGAGTTTTGTAAACACGGTGTTGTTTTATCTCATTTAATACACTTAACCTGAGCTCAGTGTGCATTTTCCAGGTTTGCGTCATCCTCAAAGATGATAAAACATCCCTTTTGGAGTGTTCAGGTAAGATCGATTGGTTTCTTTTTACGATAGAATAGAATTTTAATATCAGTCAATTGTCCTTTTTAAAATGATTTTACCCGTCAAAGTTGGGAAAGACAATCCACCCACTCACCAAGTTCTCTTTGTCCACTGAGAGGCCGCCGAGCATTCCCAAGTAAGAAAAGTTATCATGCGAAAAAATGAAAATAAAAATATAAACCTAAAATGATTAAAACTGCGAAAGGTTTTTAATACCGTCAACTGACGTGGCACAACTTACTTCGACTCTGAAGATGACTACTGCTCAGGTTGTCGAAACGTCAGTTCAGTCAGTCACTGTCAACAACAGTCCTATAGTATTTAGGACGACGTTCACTCGGACGATTATACTCAACCTACTTATAAGACGATCAAGGTGGATAACAGAACTTTGTGCTATTTTGTTAGTAGAAAAAAATTAAAAACGGATATTATGAAATACCCAATTTGCAGAAAAGCTTAAATTTGCCTGTTTTTAAAAGATACAAACAGTGTTCGATTGCCCAACCTTCGATCGCCTTTCTCTCGATGGGCCAGATATGTCATTTAAGGAACAGGTTTCCGCTGAGCAATTCTGTTGTTGTTTTAGAGCCAATCCTGAAGACAGCCTTTGAATCTGATATGTGTAAGGAAGAAGGTTTAGTCTCCGCCCTTTTGATTCACATGGGTCTTCTCAAGGTAATAACACTGATCAGCTTTAGTGACAGGAATTGTAGCTCTTGTCTCTTCGTTTTGGTTGGCTCGCCAAAAAAGTCGACTTGTGGACAAATCTATGGGGGTCATGGGGGCATGTGTGTTAGCCAGCCGTGGTTGGAGAATAAAATGTGGCAAGTTGAGGGTTGTACGCCTGAAAGTTTCTCCTTGCTTTTCGTCAAGAAATATAGCAGCTCGATCATTGAATACCCGATCATTAAAAATAACAATTATTATAACAAGTCCAATCAAAAGCTCTTATTATTCGTGCCCCGATAATCTCTCCTGTTGACTATGTCTGTCAACCGAAAAGTCGACTGACTTGACCTTAAGGTTGTCGCTTATATGGTCCAAATACGTAATTGTTTTGTAGCTCATTTCTACTACCAAGTGTGATGTGTTGTTGTGTAATTTTATTGTTATCTGCTTCTTTGTTGTTTTTAGGGCGAGGAGAAGGTTGAATCTGCCAAAGACATATCCGGTCCACTGACGGCTTTAGAACATGCTGCTAAACAACCTTATTTTCCCACACATTTAAAATCCTTCTTCATCGCTTTTATTTCAAAGTAAGGAAAATAAAATTTTGAAATAGTTGTTGAAATGTTTAAATAATGCAGAAAAGCAAAGGTAACTGAAGCATGCTTTTCTAGGAAGCGTTCAAGGTTACCTATGATCCAGCTACCAAATAGGTCAGCTAATGCGAAGACACGCGACATTTTGAATTTTACTTCTTTTCGTTATGACTGAACTTAAAAATGATTTACCTTTTTTGTCTTTATCGAAACCTAGGTTTGTTCTTAACACTTGCTCATGATCTTCAAGATTTATCAGTTCCTGGTATTTGATTCTAGCTTGGAATATGGATAGGAAAAACGATATAACCCATCTTTTCTGTTGTTTTCAGGCCCAACAAACTCTTGGAGTCCTGCTCAGAGGCTCGTCATAGATTTTTACAGACGCTCTATCAGATTTGATCGTAGCGCGCCGGGTCCTATTCACCGCTCATCTGAAGCTGCTCCTTCCTGTTGTTTATCCAAGAACCTTGAGTGAAGAACAGAAGCCCAAGATATTTAGTTTAACTGCATGAAATGTAGTTGTCCATGGCGTGTTGTTTGATTACAGTAAATTCTCTTTTATTAATGGACACATCCCTAAAACGGATTCACTAGAGTCGGTCCGTGCTATTCAGTCGTTAGTCATTTTAATTCACTTGCTTTAGGCCGATCATCTGGGGGATTCAGTGCCGGTCCCAATTATTTCCCGTCCAAAAGAGAGAGGGAGGTTTGATTGTACAGATAGTGATATTTCTCCCATCCTCGGAGGTCGCGTCGAGAAAAACGGCGCGGAGAAGGTTTTCAGGCCTTTGAATATTTTCCAAATTCGCTTTTTTGAAAGTTTTTATTCCTTTTGAAATGCGACGTAAAATAGAGGATTAGAATTCTTTAGTTCTTATAGCGGCAAATAGGTTACCACAAACTGTTTAACGACGCGATCAGAGTTGAGAAATCTTTTCTTTTGTCCTTAGTCAGCGTTTACGTCCTGTAAAATGGACAAGGGCAATGTATTTTTAGCTGTTGGATAACCATAAGGTTCGTTTTGACATCAGTCAAGAGCCATTATGGCTCTTGCTTCAGTATACTTTGACGTACATCTGAGATGTAATCTTTCCAATCAAGCTAAGATAACTTGCGCAAGCTTGTATGAGTTTGGCTACGTTCAAAATATACCGCCCGGATAACTTTACGTGCGGACACCAAAAGCGATCCGTTATAGTGTCAACACCTATCCGATATGTGACTCTCCACTTTCGAGGTTCGCGCAGCGCAGCTTTGCTCCGTTTCAGAAATCGCGCCGAAATCATCGTTCTCATGTGTGGACAGAAGCCTTATCTGACATGGGTTTCCTCACTGCTGGCGTAAAAGCAACCTCGTTCCCAGGGTTCTCTCCTACCCGCCCTACGCTCCGTAGGGCGGGTAGGAGAGAACCCTGGGAACGAGGTTGGCGTAAAAGCTATGCAAATTAAACATCGCATTTCACATGTGCCCAATCTAAGATTACTCATTTAGGAAACGACAACAATGGATTTAAATTCGGCTGATGTGGAATTCGACGTTTGAAACTGGTACATTCTCAGTAAATGCAGACCCAGACCCAAGCTGCATTTTGGAATGATTCGAATAAAATCACTTATCTCAGTCCGTTTATCTTTTAACTTTTACTGTCTGTTCGCTGTCGGTAAGTTTTAGATTTGGAGATGCAGCTAACAGGGTCAAACAGCACCTCGCTGAACCGCTCACACAAAGCCAACAGGCAGGAAAAGAAACAACACAAATGTAATTAAAATTGAGATCTTGATATAAACAAGGCCCTCTTAACACAAGCTTCCTCAAAATCAAGTAACTGAAATAAAAGTCTCACCTAAGAAAACGGCGATGTCACCACTGGTTTCCCGTACGTCTGAGGAACGAACGCAAAAATTCCATACTGATTACGTGTCACTACCCAGATCTGAGTGCTGCTTCTGATTGGTTGAAGCAACTTCCCCTGGGGCACGAACCATTAGTAGACTGAGAGCAGTCTCTCTTTTTCATTACGCGCGTAGTCATTTGCGCTTCTCGCGCGTTTTGCTAGACGGACAAAGAAAAAAGAGAGACCGCTCGTAGTCCAATCAGAAGTATTGCCCAGATCTGAATGGCAGGTTGATTGTCAGTATGTAATTTCGCGCTCGTTCCTCGCCCGTCATTAGGGACCTTAACATCCAACGACACGACGGCAACGAGAACGTCTAAAAAACAATAAATACGAAGTCGCTAAAAATATTTGTGGTGTTCTCTTAGGGAGGTACAGGTGGTATACCTGAGTAATTGCTAAATGTCTTTGAAGTAAAGCTTTACCATACACACAGATTTCAAGAGGAAACTGAAAATGTTTATTAAGGTTTTCTGAGAGCACGAGGCTTGATTACATGTAGAATTTCATTGACTTTTCTGAGTGTGTGAGGCATTTTTCGCGACCATAGCACTCCAATTAAAGCAATGTTTCAGCTCTTCCCTAAGCCCCACTAACTGTGCTAGTTACTGGTGAAGATCAGATGGAGCGTTATTCATCGTACACAGGCGACGATATATATTTACATTTTTACATGATCTGCATGTTAATAAATCTTGTCCTGATTCGGTAATGGTATATACAGTAAAAACGAAGGTACAGATGACCACAATAAAGGTCAACTTTTCAGTAATTATAAGGACTATAAGGTACAAGTTGACCGGTAAACGTAACACACAGGTTGACCTCTGTATGCCTAGCCGTTATAAAGAGGTTGGACGGTTTGGTGTCAAGGAAACTGTTTTGAGCCCTGTGCTGGAGCAGGCCCCGGCTGTTCAAAGGCTCGGGATAGCGCTATCCTGCATCGGATAAATCACTATCCAGCGGATAAGAATTAGAGAAACTGAGCAACTGCACTACGATCCACTGAACAGAGATTTATCCCCTGTATAGCGCTACATCCGCCTTTTGAACAACTGGGGCCTGATTACTAAAGTAGTCATGACCTATCTTCAAGGAATAAGTCGTAAGATTTTGACTCAAATGCAGAAAAAGTGATTCTAAAGGGAGAGGGGCTGTCTACACTTGGTCACACTTGGTGCTCGGGAACCAGTGCCTGGGTACCTGCACAAAATGGTGCTGTGTTCATGACACTTTAAGTATCCGATATGTGACTGTGTACATAGCTACTCCATTTTGCCCTGTCAGACGCCAGCACGCCGGCACCGTGCCCGAATTCTAGCGTGGGTACTTGAAAAAAGGGTGTGTTCACATTAGTGCCCAACGAGTACCGTACTTGGGCACCAAGTCTGAAAGCTGCCTTAATTAAGGGTGGTCATAGGAGGTACGCTTTTGAATCGGACGATATGAGACACCGTTCATTAGGAGAAAGCCGGGCGTTTTCTATTTGTCATAACTGGCTGGCCAGACCAGTTCAGACATAAGGAGAATTTCACTATAAGTAAGGACTTTCCAGTCAGATCGGTTTGTCCCTAGAAAACATGCACGCAGTATGGCTAATTCAATAAAGGTTACTTCAAATGGGCATGGGGACTTGCGCATTGGAAGCAATGGTCACTTAAGTAAATCATTGCATTGTTCCATAGGCCCAAACGCCCAATTACTAATGACCAATGTAAGACCAAAGAAACGTTTTTTGATTTAGCTGTATATATACTTAAGTTGACCGGTCTGGCTGGCCAGGTTTGACTTTTGGAAAGCGCGCCCTTAGGTAATAGACATGCCGCTGTTCTTGAATCACATGGTCGAAATAAAAATAACATAAAGTAATAAAAAAAAATCTAAGGGTCAAGTGATGTCAGCTGAACGACAAGGATAATTTTTACAATCTGAATATATCCTGCAAAATCTGCTCTTGGTGTAAGCCTTTCTTAGTCTGTTGTAAGTTAAGTCAATAGTGGTGACGATTTTTTCTGCAAATTGACGTAAGCAACTTCGGAGGGTACGCGTGTTCTCGATTGATTGTAATTTTGATCGTTCTCTTTGAGAAGACTCATGTAAGTTCCTTTATTATGGGCCCAGTTTTCATATGTTGGATATTTAAGGTCTTGATAACGGTTCTTGCCAGAATTCCGAGTTTGAAAAGTATTCTTTTCCGATTCTGATGAGGGAACGGTAGCCTGCTCTTCTGCACCGTTTTCTCCATTCTTCTCCCCAACATTTGCAGGCGGCGGCGTCAATAAAGGCGGCAGAAGTCTTGAGTTCTTACTAAGTGGACGGGCATAGATTGGAGCCTCGTTTCTCTCTTGATTCGCGCCATTTTCATGTTTAAAGAAGACTTTTATCTCGGTGTGCGAATCCACAGGTGTAAGGTAATCAGATTCTTCTGTGTTATCTTCCACTTCTACCACTACATCATTACTAGTACTATCATTGCTATCTGCATTGCTGTCATTTTCACAAAGCGGCTGGGTTGTTTCATTGTTAAGGGGAATTAATGTATCGGCGTCGGTTACAGCACATTTAGGTTTATTATCCTCCAAGCGGTCAGTTAAGTTCCTTGTTTTCTGTCTCTTTGCACAGCAACACAAAATAGACACGATCAAAATGACAATTAACACGAATCCCCCTCCTGCAGATGCACCAATGATAAGAAACTGAATCATCTGAAACTCATCTTGTGTTGGGGGTTCTCTGGTAGTAGTTTCTTGTCTATCTGTTGTGTGTTCTGTGGTAGTAGTTTCTTGTCTATCTGTTGTGTGTTCTGTGGTAGTAGTTTCTTGTGTATCTTCTGTTGGGGGTTCTGTCGTGTTTTTAAATACCTTTCCTTGACCTGTTGAGAGAAGATATGAGTTGTTTACAATCAAACAGTTAAATTCAACAGTGAAATCTTCAAAGCTCAGTTGAAAGTGGACAGACGCTCCCCAGGGGGGAATCGAACCCCGGTCTCCCGGGAGACAGGCGGGGATACTTCCGAGAACCGCATATATCTTGTGCCATCATGAAATAAGTAGAGCTTTTTCACTTCATTTGTTTGTTTGTTTCTTTTTGCCCCATCTGGCGTCATGTGTCGTTCTTAAGGGAATATTGCCTTTGTCGTACTATGTTTCGTATACCTTTAATATTATCACTTATTTCGGGCGAATTTGGAATAGAAATATTTCGCGGGACTTGAATTTCGCGATTTTGACTAGTCGCATCACCGTTTTTCAATGCTGAAGAAAATACCAATCAAACAAAGGTCTTTTCTGATAGCCGAGAATTTAAGGGTACGCATCTATTTTAATTTATGAGTTATATTTGCTAACTTGAAGTCTAGGCCACTTTCGAGGAGTTAAAGGGACGGCTTTTTCAAAACATGTCGACAAATCGTGGAGTGTCGTCGGAGCAATTTTGGCGTAAAAAAACGTAAAGCACAAACTGAACTATTGAATCTGGACGATGACTAAGAATGGAGAATCAATAATCACGTCAGTGAGTCAAATATTTTACGTTTTCCTAGACTGAATAGCTAAGGAGGTCCGAGTAAGGGCTTTCTTTTCTTCGCCAGTTACAAAGCGTGCACGCAAATTGATTTAACTGAAATTAAAAAATGCAAAAATCTGCAAGATTTTGGATGCGACTCCTTCGAACAGATTGGCTTACGAACTCGTTATCTTTGAGCGCATGGGCAGCAAACATCCAAAAAAGCCGGTTTTTTTGTTGCCACTAAATTTTTGAGGGAGATCGTCAGAAAGTGTCCTAATATTTGCAGCCGAATGCTATTCGGAACTGCCGATAAAAACCGAGAAACAAGAAGACAAGGAAACTGCATTTTTATGTTGAAACAATTGTCTTTTTTTGTTTGTATTTTAACAGGATCATTTACATGATGCAAATGAAGTAGCAAGATTTTTTGTGTCGGTGAGTTTTGTAAACACGGTGTTGTTTTATCTCATTTAATACACTTAACCTGAGCTCAGTGTGCATTTTCCAGGTTTGCATTATCCTCAAAGATGATAAAACATCCCTTTTGGAGTGTTCAGGTAAGATCGATTGGTTTCTTTTTACGATAGAATAGAATTTTAATATCAGTCAATTGTCCTTTTTAAAATGATTTTACCCGTCAAAGTTGGGAAAGACAATCCACCCACTCACCAAGTTCTCTTTGTCCACTGAGAGGCCGCCGAGCATTCCCAAGTAAGAAAAGTTATCATGCGAAAAAATGAAAATAAAAATATAAACCTAAAATGATTAAAACTGCGAAAGGTTTTTAATACCGTCAACTGACGTGGCACAACTTACTTTGACTCTGAAGATGACTACTGCTCAGGTTGTCGAAACGTCAGTTCAGTCAGTCACTGTTAACAACAGTCCTATAGTATTCAGGACGACGTTCACTCGGACGATTATACTCAACCTACTTATAAGACGATTAAGGTGGATAACAGAACTTTGTGCTATTTTGTTAGTAGAAAAAAATTAAAAACGGATATTATGAAATACCCAATTTGCAGAAAAGCTTAAATTTGCCTGTTTTTAAAAGATACAAACAGTGTTCGATTGCCCAACCTTCAATCGCCTTTCTCTCGATGGGCCAGATAATTATTATGTCATTTAAGGAACAGGTTTCCGCTGAGCAATTCTGTTGTTGTTTTAGAGCCAATCCTGAAGACAGCCTTTGAATCTGATATGTGTAAGGAAGAAGGTTTAGTCTCTGCCCTTTTGATTCACATGGGTCTTCTCAAGGTAATAACACTGATCAGCTTAGTGATAGGAATTGTAGCTCTTGTCTCTTCGTTTTGGTTGGCTCCCCAAAAAAGTCGACTTGTGGACAAATCTATGGGGGTCATGGGGCATGTGTGTTAGCCAGCCGAGGTTGGAGAATAAAACGTGGCGAGTTGAGGGTTGTACGCCTGAAAGTTTCTCCTTGCTTTTTGTCAAGAATATAGCAGCTCGATCATTAAAAATAACAATTATTATAACAAGTCCAATCAAAAGCTCTTATTTTTCGTGCCCCGAGAATCTCTCTTGTTGACTATGTCGGTCAACCGAAAAGTCGACTGACTTGACCTTAAGGTTGTCGCTTATATGGTCTATGCAATACGTAATTGTTTTGTAGCTCATTTCTACTACCAAGTGTGATGTGTTGTCGTGTAATTTTATTGTTATCTGCTTCTTTGTTGTTTTTAGGGCGAGGAGAAGGTTGAATCCGCCAAAGACATATCCGGTCCACTAACGGCTTTAGAACATGCTGCTAAACAACCTTATTTTCCCACACATTTAAAATCCTTCTTCATCGCTTTTATTTCAAAGTAAGGAAAATAAAATTTTCAAATAGTTGTTGACATGTTTAAAGAAATTAATGGATAAAAGCAAAGGTAACTGAACCATGCTTTTCTAGGGAGCGTTCAAGCTTACCTACGATCCAGCTACCAAATACCGTGTAGCATGAAAATTTTGCGGGTTCTAATTTTTGCGAATTTTGCGGATTGACCTCGATCCGCAAAAATTAGTTCCCGCAGAAAAAAAACCCGCAAAATAAAACGCCGCAAAAATTAACTCCCTTCAGTCAAATTAAAAACTCTGCTTTTAATGGACTTGTTGTGTATGTTAGGGATAGGCTTTTGTGTTGTCTTCCCTTGCTGTTGTTTAGTCCCTTTGTGCAGTAAGATATAACAGTGAAAATATGTAAGTAGAGTGAACTTTGACTCAACGTACGGTAAAATGAAAGTTGAAAATACCATATTAAGGTTTCTTCCACTTAATTTGTTCCCCCAAACCACAAAAAATCGCCAATCCGAAAAATAAAACTCCCGCAAAATTTTCATGCTACACGGTAGGTCAGCTAATGCGAAGACATGCAACATTTTAAAGTTTACTTCTTTTCGTTATGATCGAACTTAAAAATAATTTACCTTTTTTGTCTCTATGGAAACCTATTTTTGTTTTTAACACTTGCTATCTTCAAGATTTATCAGTTCCTGGTATTTGATTCTAGCTTGGAATATGGATAGGAAAAACGATATAACCCATCTTTTCTGTTGTTTTCAGGCCCAACAAACTCTTGGAGTCCTGCTCAGAGGCTCGTCATAGATTTTTACAGACGCTCTATCAGATTTGATCGTAGCGCGCCGGGTCCTATTCACCGCTCATCTGAAGCTGCTCCTTCCTGTTGTTTATCCAAGAGCCTTGAGTGAAGAACAGAAGCCCAAGATATTTAGTTTAACTGCATGAAATGTAGTTGTCCATGGCGTGTTCTTTGATTACAGTAAATTCTCTTTTATTAATGGACACATCCCTAAAACGGATTCACTAGAGTCGGTCCGTGCTATTCAGTCGTTAGTCATTTTAACTCACTTGCTTTAGGCCGATCATCTGGGGGATTCAGTGCTGGTCCCAATTATTTCCCGTCTAAGAGAAAGAGAGAGAGAGGTTTGATTGTACAGATAGTGATATTTCTCCCATCCTCGGAGGTGGCAGTCGGTCGCGTCGAGAAAAACGGCGCGGAGAAGGTTTTCAGGCCTTTGGATATTTTCCAAATTCGCTTTTTTGAAAGTTTTTATTCCTTTTGAAATGCGACGTAAAATGGAGGATTAGAAGTCTTTAGTTCTTATAGCGGCAAATAGGTTACTACAAACTGTTTAACGACGCGATCAAAGTCGAGAAATCTTTTCTTTTGTCCTTAGTCAGCGTTCAGGTCCTGTGAAATGGACAAGGGCAATGTATTTTTAGCTGTTGGATAACGATAACGTTCGTTTTGACATCAGTCAAGAGCCATTATGGCTCTTGCTTCAGTATACTTTGACGTACATCTGAGATGTAATCTTTCCAATCAAGCTAAGATAAATTGTGAAAGCTTCTATGAGTTTGGCTACGTTCAAAATATACCGCGCGGACACCAAAAGCGATCCGGTATAGTGTCAACAGCTATCCTATATGTGACTCTCCACTTTAGAGATCTGCGCAGCGCAGCTTCGCTCCGTTTCAGAAATCGCGCCGAAATCACCGTTCTTATGTGTGGACAGAAGCCTTATCTGACATGGTTTTCTCACTGCTGGCGTAAAAGCAACCTCGTTCCCAGGGTTCTCTCCTACCCGCCCTACGGAGCGTAGGGCGGGTAGGAGAGAACCCTGGGAACGAGGTTGGCGTAAAAGCTATGCAAATTAAACGTCGCATTTCACATGTGCCCAATCTAAGATTACTCATTTAGGAAACGACAACAATAGATTTAAATTCGGCTGATGTGGAATTCGACGTTTGAAACTGGTACATTCTCAGCAAATGCAGACCCAGACCCAAGCTGCATTTTGGAATGATTCGAATAAAATCACTTATCTCAGTCCGTTTATGTTTTAACTTTTACTGTCTGTTCGCTGTCGGTAAGTTTTAGATTTGGAGATGCAGCTAACAGGGTCAAACAGCACCTCGCTGAACCGCTCACACAAAGCCAACAGGCAGGAAAAGAAACAACACAAATGTAATTAGAATTGAGATCTTGATATAAACAAGGTCCTCTTAACACAAGCTTCCTCAAAATCAAGTAACTGAAATAAAAGTCTCACCTAAGAAAACGGCGATGTCACCACCGGTTTCCCGCACGTCCGAGGAACGAACGCAAAAATTCCATACTGATCACGTGTCACTAGCCAGATCTGAGTGATGTTTCTGATTGGTTGAAGCAACTTCCCCTTGGGGCACGAACCATTAGTTTTCATTACGCGCGTAGTCATTTGCGCGTCTCGCGCGTTTTGCTAGACGGACAAAGAAAAAAGAGAGACCGCTCGTAGTCTAACCAATCAGAAGTATTGCCCAGATCTGAATGACAGGTTATTTGTCAGTATGTAATTTCTGCGCTCTTTTCTCACCTGTCATTAGGGACTTTAACATCCAAAGACGCCACGGCAACGAGAACGTGTAAAAAACAATAAATACGAGTGAAAGTCGCTAAAAATATATGTGGTGTTCTCTTAGGGAGGTACAGGTGGTATACCTGAGTAATTGCTAAATGTCTTTGAAGTAAAGCTTTACCATACACACAGATTTCAAGAGGAAACTGAAAATGTTTATTAAGGTTTTCTGAGAGCACGAGGCTTGATTCCATGTAGAATTTCATTGACTTTTCTGAGTGTGTGAGGCATTTTTCGCGACCATAGCACTCCAATTAAAGCCGAGTGTTTCAGCTCTTCCCTAAGCCTCACTAACTGTTTAACTGTTTCGACAGCCAGTGGCTTAGGTTCAGGTGAACGCAGGCGACGATATATATTTGTTAGGGTTATTTAGTGTGATATTTATGTTTTTTAATAAAGATTGTTTTTACCGTGATGATCTGCATGCTAAATAAATCTTGTCCTGATTCGCTACATGGTATATACAGTAAAAAAAAAGATACAAATGATAACAATAAAGGTCAACTTTTCAGTAATTATAAGGTACTAGTTGATCGGTAATCGTAATATACAAGGACAAGACACTTGAATTCGGTTTCCAAAGAGAACGTTAAATTGAGTCAACTCACTCGACTCTTAGTCCCGGCTTCTTGCCACAATTATTCTTGGATTGTTGCTCATTTTAATCTAGCACCTTTTATTTTTCCAACAATGTTTTCGGTAGGGAGGAGACCCGGACTAGAAAGAGGAAAATACTCACGTCCCGACATTGAAATGCAAAGTTGCAGGCCCCGGTTGTTCAAAGGCTCGGGATAGCGCTATCCTGCATCGGATAAATCACTATCCAGCGGATAAGAATTCGCGATACTGACCCGGATTGGACTACGATTCACTGAATGGAGATTGATCCCCTGTATAGCTCTACATCCGCCTTTTAACAACTGGGGGCCTGATTATGAAAATAAACCTCTTTCGTCTATCCCTAGCGCTAATAGTCATGACCTATCTTGAAGGAATAAGTCGTAAGATAAGTTTAATTTTGACTCAAATGCAGAAAAAATGATTTTAATGGGAGAGGGGCTGTCCACACTTGGTCACACTTGGTGCTCGGGAACTATATGGTGTTGTGTTCACTCTTTGAGTATCCGATATGTGACTGTGTACATAGCTACTCCATTTTGCCCTGTCAGACGCCATTTTGAAACATGAGCCTAGCAGCGAGAACAAAGCAGTGGACTGCCCGGAACTTACAAAAATTGTATGCTCACAGGGACCCGGTGCCTACTTTTGTGGCCGAGTACAAGGTCGAGATCTTGTTCTCGGGCACCGGCACCGCGCCCGAATTCTAGCGTGGGACTTGAAAAAAGGTTGTGTTCACATTAGTGCCCAGCGAGCACCGTGCTTGGGCACCACGCCCGGGCACCAAGTGTGAAACTGCCTTAGTTAAGGGTGGTCATAGGAGGTACACTTTTGATGCGGACGATATGGGACACCGTTCATTAGGAGAAAGTCGAGCGTTTTCTATTTGTCAGAGCTGGCTGGCCAGACCAGTTCAGACATAAGGAGAATTTCACTATAAATAAGGACTTTCCAGTCAGATCGGTTTGTCCCTAGATAACATGCACGCAGTATAGCTAATTCAACAAAGGTTGCTTTATTTGGGCATTGGGACTTGCGCATTGGAAGCAATGGTCACTCAAGTAAATCATTGCATTGTTCCATATGCCCAAACGCCCAATTACTAATGACCAATGTAAAACCAAAGAAACGTTTTTTGATTTAGCTGTATATATCTTTAAGTTGACAGGTCTGGCTGGCCAGGTTTGACTTTTGGAAAGGGCGCGCCCTTAGGTAATAGACATGCCGCTGTTATTGAATCACTTGATCGAAATAAAAATAAAATAAAATAATAAAAAAAAGATCCAAGGGTCAAGTGATGTCAGCTGAACGACAAGGATAATTTTTACAATCTGAATACATCCTGCAAAATCTGCTCTTGGTGTAAGCCTTTCTTAGTCTGTTGTAAGTTAAGTCAATAGTGTTACGATTTTTTTGGCAAATTGACGTAAGCAACTTCGGAGGGTACGCGTGTTGTCGATTGATTGTAATTTTGATCGTTCTCTTTGAGAAGACTCATGTAAGTTCCCTTATTATGGGCCCAGTTTTCATATGTTGGACATTTAAGGTCTTGATAACGGTTCTTGCCAGAATTCCGAGTTTGAAAAGTACTCTTTTCCGATTCTGTTGAGGGAACGGTAGCCTGTTCTTCTGCACCGTTTTCTCCATTCTTCTCCCCACCATTTGCAGGCGGCGGCGTTAATAAAGGCGGCAGAAGTCTTGAATTCTTACTAAGTGGACGGGCATAGATTGGAGCCTCGTTTCTCTTTTGATTCGCGTCATTTTCATGTTTAATGAAGATTTTTATCTCGGTTTGCGAATCCATAGGTGTAAGGTAATCAGATTCTTCTGTGTTATCTTCCACTTCTACCACTACATCATTACTAGTACTATCATTGCTATCTGCATTGCTGTCATTTTCACAAAGCGGCTGGGTTGTTTCATTGTTAAGGGAAATTAATGTATCGGCGTCGGTTACAGCACATTTAGGTTTATTATCCTCCAAGCGGTCAGTTAAGTTCCTTGTTTTCTGTCTCTTTGCGCAGCAACACAAAATGGACACGATCAAAATGACAATTAACACCAATCCCCCTCCTGCAGATGCACCAATAAGAAACTGAATCATCTGAAAGCATGATATAACCGTCTTTTCTTGTTCCTCTTGTGTTGGGTGTTCTGTGGCAATGGTTTCTTGTGTTTCTTCTGTTGGGAGTTTTGTGGTAGTAGGTTTTGGGGGTTCTGTCGTGGTTTCAACTGAGATATTCGTTGAACCTGTTGAGAGAAGATATGAGTTGTTTACAATAAACAGTTAAATTCAACAGTTAAACCTTGAAAGTTCAGTTGAAAGTGGACAGACGCTCCCCGGCGGGGAATCGAATCCCGGTCTCCCGCGCGAGACAGGCGGGGATACTTCCGAGAACCGCATATATTGTGCCATCATGAAATAAGTAGAGCTTTTGCACTTCATATAGTTTGTTTGTTTGTTTTTGCCCCATCTGGGGTCATATGTCTTTCTTAAGAGAATATTGCCTTTGTCGTACTATGTTTCGTATACCTTTAATATTATCACTTATTTCGGGCGAATTTGGAATAGAAATATTTCGCGGGACTTGAATTTCGCGATTTTGACTAGTCGCATCACCGTTTTTCAA